TCTTTCATTCCTCGTTTCACCCCTTCAATATCACAATGTAGTGCCTATGCAAACCTAGTTGAGACCTATTCACACTCTCCGCTAATTCCCACATCCCCCCCTCTCTTCTGGGAGTATTGGTCCGAGTCAGCTCTTTTAGTCTACAACCCTCTTCCTCCAGGTCCTATCACAGTCTCCCTCTTGCCTCGTAGGATCTGTCTCTTATCTCCATGGTTAAGTAATTCCACTCGATCGCTGCCACCATATTCGTGCTCCTCGAGACGCTATGTCATTTACTTTGCCTCAAGCCGTTGATAGCATGCATCCGCCAGCCCTCAAAACCAGGATTCTCAAGCTGAATGGGAGACTAACTTGAGGCTATAGATCGCCTTCATGTGCACCGGATGATCCTCATGGTTAAGCTCTTACTGGACGGACCACGCATGTACCAAGTCGACGGTCCGACGCTGGAAATCATGGTCACTATTATAGCAAAGGATTTCGCGCAAGGTGAGTCCAACCAAGTTGTTTTGACAACACATCCGAGTGGCGAAAACGAGGTCAGCCCACTTCGAAGCCCGTCCACTTTTATGACTTTCTATTTCAAAGAGAAAGTTGATTGGAGGGAATTGGTAAGGTGGATACAACAGTCTTCCCTACGCAGAAATCCTGCCTCACCTTCCGAGAAGACCACATCAACAAACCTTTCCTTCGACATGGAAAGTCATGTCACAATATGTCTACTGTTAGTCAACTATCTCTCTTGCTTCTATCCTGAATGCCGAATCTATGACTTTCTTGTGTGCCAACCTCCAAATTTTGTGGTTCTACTTGTTTTGCATAGACTCACTGTAGAAGCTCTTTTTGCTTTCCGAGTGATCCACTGTGGTCTCATTGAGATTTATTTTCCTAAAGTTTAAACTATTTCCTCTACTGTATCTCCTTTTTGCTTGTTCCCTCATCTACTCCGACTCTGCTTAGGTAGGACGCAATATTTTCATTAATTCCGCATTCTTCTATTCTCCTGCTCGATGGCCTCTCAGATCATGTGTCCTCGTATTTTCACCATATACAGCCAGTTGATTTCATGCTCCACCCGTGCAATGTGTTCAATTGTTTCGCATCGTTCGCTATACACACTTCCGCAGAGCCATTAATTTCCCTTAAGTCGTACGCTGACTTTTCTTCCTGCTTCATCGATATACTTCTGATCCACTTTTGGTCGTCCTCC